CCCCACCCAAGAAAACCAAAATTCAATAGCCTCCTAACAACAGTTAAAAAAAAAGTAGCTCGGTACATAAGGTATTCCGTATTCACACAGGGTTCGGAGAAAGGCTGCAACCTAAGGAAAGTGATGTAGACAACTTGCTCTAATACAAGTATTAGTGATTGCTTTCACGGTCGGGGGCGAAGCTACATAGCCCCTAAGGGTGGTCAACTGACCACCCTTCGTCAAAAAAATATATTGTATATATAGGTAAAATATTGGATTTTAGAGGTATATAATATATATTGAATATCCTTCAACGGTTTTTTTTTTTACTTTTTCAAGTTTGAAACCCTAAATAACATTCCTGACTTTGCCACTGTCCACGGCTCAAACATGTGACCGATATATCACTCAAAAATAACTTTACTGTAGCTCCAAAACTCCGTTTCAATACCCTCCTAACAGTTCTTGCAAAAATGATTCTATACCTAATACCAAATATAGCTACAACAATTGATCAGAACTTCAGAGACTTTAACACAATGTATCCATTTGCACTCTCTTTGTTTCCTTTGCTTCTACTCCTCATGTTCATCTTCTCATTTCTTTCTATCCCTTCTATCTCAACCAATCAACATGCAAATAACAAGAATCTCCCACAGCCAATTACTAACATGGAATCCCAAGAACTTGAAATCCTTTTCAAGATTATGGAATCCATGTCTTCTGATCAAAATTGGAGAATTTCCCATCCAAATCCATGTAAACAAAGTTCATCTTGGCTTGGAATAGAGTGCAAAAAAAGTAATATTGATAACATGTTTCATGTTACTAGGCTTGATTTTGGTACAAATCCAAACCCCACATGCAAAAATACATCAACTTTCCCTTCACAAATTTTTCAACTCCCAAATCTTGAATCTATTTTCTTTATTCAATGTTTCACATATATCAAAACAAGAATGACTTTTCCAAAAACAAGAATTCTAAGCCTTTCACTCCAACAACTTAGTCTAAGATCAAATCCTTCACTTTTTGGTTCAATCCCACCTCAAATATCACTACTAAAATCACTTCAAATTCTTACTTTGTCACAAAACAATCTTGTTGGTCAAATTCCTTTAGAAATCTTTACCTTGAGTTCACTTGTACATCTTGATTTAAGCTACAACAAGTTTACAAGCAAAATCCATGACCAAATTGGTAATTTCAAGAATCTTGTTGGCTTAGATTTAAGCTACAACAATTTCATTGGTCCAATTCCTAACACAATTGGCCAACTTGGTACACTTCAAAAGCTTGACTTAAGTTCTAATTCATTCACTGGAAAAATTCCAGAGAGTATAGAAAATCTACATTCTTTGATTTTCTTGGCTTTAAGTAACAATAAATTAAGTGGGAATTTTCCTAAAGGTTTAATTAAGTTGCAGAGTTTACAATATTTTCTTATGGATGATAATCCAATGTTTATTTCATTACCAGTTGAGTTCAGTCAGCTGAAAAAACTTCAAGAATTGAGACTTTCAACTTCTGGTTATTCAGGAAAAATACCATCAAGTTATTCAAAACTCTTGAATTTAAGCACATTGTCATTACAAAATAATCGATTAACGGGCGAAATTCCAGTTGAATTTTCTAGTTTTTCACATATGTATCACTTGAATTTGAGCAGAAATTTTTTGGATGGTGTTGTTCCATTTAATTCAAGTTTCTTGAAAAGACTTGGTAGGAATTTGGACTTAAGTGGAAATCCAGGGCTTTGTTTTAATCCACCTGAGGCAAATGGAGTTTATGTTGGAGTTAATATTTGTGGGAGAAACAAAAATAGTTCTATAATTATGCCATTGAAGAAATCTGAAGCTTCATATGGAGTAATGAAGTCATTTTTTCTTATGTTTGTTTTGTGTACTATGGCTTTGTATTATTTGTTGTTCTTTGTTTAGGAATTAGGTTTGGTTGTATTATTGATTCTTTCTAGTAAATTGTACTTCATCTGCCTCGTATTATATTATGTGTCGAGTTTCTCTTTTATGCGCTCTTTAAGAAATATTAATTAGGAATGAGATTTGACTATTCTATTATTATTTATGTCTTAAAATATAATCTCTCTTCGTTGAATATTTATTTCATTTATATGTTATCTTCATCTTCAAGAACAATTATTACTAATGGTAAAAAAGAAAAAAAAATCAATTTTGTCTAGAACTTTTAAAATGACAAATAATTTGAAACAACTATTTTTTGTAACCGCGACGTTTAATATGAGACGGAGGGAGTACATCCCAACATATACTTCTGAGTCTATTAAGTAACATAATTATTTCTTACTATTCTCTCCATCTCAAATTATTTATTGTGCTTTCTAAAAATAGTTGTATCAAATTATTTATTATTTTAGAAGTTTACGACAAAATAAATTATATTTTTCCCATTTTACCCTAAAAATAGTTGTTCTTGAAGATGGAGATAGCACATAAATAAAGAGATCATATCTTAAGATATACATAAGGGTAAAATTATTTAATCATCCTCCTAATTAATGTTTCTTAAGGGGCGTGTGTAAAACAGAAACACGATAGATAATTTCAAACGGAGGGGGTACTATTTACTTTGCAATTATTACTTTTTCCTGTTCATAATAAGTGACTTTGACACATCTCTTAATAAAATATAAACTTCTAGACGAAAAAGAAATATTCACTAAATTATCCTTAACTAATGATTACCTTGACACATTGGTATATGTAAATGAGAGGGAATTTTGAAAAAAAATAAAATTAATTACTTCTTATGTAAATGAACACTTATTATGTATCGACTTGAGCCGGTCCCCGGTGGCTAATACCTTCTCGAGACTATCTAACCTGAAATCTACTTTCCATCGCTCGTTTTAGGTTGACATAATATATATATCTCATTTTTTTTAAAAACAACAACATGATTTTCGATCTCTTAATAAAAGGAAAAGGAATTATACTCACAAATTATTACTTATATAATTACATTTTCCAAAAATCCAATGTTTTGGCATTCTAATATTAGAGGAGATAATACTTTAGGTCAGAGCAGTTCGAGTTCGAGTCCTGGGTATGGAAAAATCCTTGATAAGGAGCGCTCTCCCCCGAATGAGTCCCTATGCGGCGCGAATCCGAATATAGTCTGACTCCAATGCGGGTACCGAATATCGGATGGTAAAAAATCCTGCTTCCGCCACTGGTGGGGCAGAGTGATAAGGGGTTGTTTGTGTAGGGACATGAGTGCTGTGTATGAAGAAACAAGACCTTCAGAGGACTGAACACAAGGACACTTAAAAGAAGAAGCTGCTGGATCCCACCCTTCAGTTCAGTCTATTCATATCAGTACTAAATTTCAACTTCCTCTTATATATGAACTAACTTGCACCATTATAATACAAAGTTTTTTCAAATATTGATAGCTGCATTTCTTGTCCTATGTACTTTAACTGATCATAAATTTTACCTTATTTACCTTTCACTACTATTCTATTAACCAACAATTGTGAATAATGGTAGCAGACATATCAGTGGCGAACTAAAAATTACGCTAAGCGTGTTCAAGATTTAATATATATCTCTAAAAAATATTTTTTGATTATATACGCAATATAATTTTTTATATACATAGATCATGTTGAATTTAGTATAATTACAACCACATGTTCATATTATTTATCTTTTAAGATTTTCACACGACTCTTAGCTTGCGTTTGGCCAGAAATTTTTAAATTTATTTTGAAAAATCTGATTTGGGTGAAATTTGGTTTGAAGATGAAAATGAGTTTGGACATCAGTTTTCTAAACATATTTCACCATTTTTTTTTAAAAACATGAAACATGACTCATACCCACAAGTTTTAAAAACTATCACAAATACCCAACAATACATTTATTATCATTATCGTAAACCATAGTCCTGAACATAAATAAATTTGGTACAAAATTATTATTTTTAATACATAATACACTATCAAATGACCAAAAAGACGAAATACCATTGTTACAAAATAATAAATGGTGGGCTCTTTTATAAAATACAAAAATAAGGGAAAATTTTATTAAAAATATAATAGTAATATTTTGGACGCTGGCTTTGGGATTTGAGAATTTGTCAAAATATGAATAAAATTTATGAACAAACATATATTTGCCAAAAAATATTTTGCAAATACTTGGAACGGTCCTTAAGAAGATGCTTAATACTTTGAAGGAGTATTTGTCTAAAAGACCTCTTATCTCTTCTTAAATTTCTTACGTAACTAACATTCCAGTAATTAGTTAGAATAGTAAGGGTAAATTTGAAAAAAAAAACGATAAATATGATGTAAGTGATTTCTTGTTTTTCTAATATCTCAAAAAATTTGAAATATAATCATTTTGCCATAAGGTCAAATATGTGTGATCGAAGAATTTCGAGTTCGAGACATGAGAATAGAAAAAAATTCAGGTAGGGAGCACTTCCTCCTATAATAAACCACACAACATGAAATCAAATTAGTCGGGCTCCAATACAGATTACGATTAATGCTAATTCCCTACATCTTTTAACTATTTGAATGACTATAAGAGAAAGGAATAAATATTCGACCTTACGCTTTTTGTAGAAAAGGGACAAAAGCAAAAGTCTATGCTTTTTTCACTCAATCACTTGTCACTAGCTACTCTATAAAGTACCATCAATTTACTATTTTCATGTTTTGTATAGTGAATGAGCCTTCGTTCTTGTTTTGTCCACATTGTGTCTTTGAAAATGGTTTCCTTTTTATATTTTTTTAGATTTTAATCTAGTATCGGTATCTGTGTTAAAGCCCGATTAAATCTAAACCGACCCCAAATGTCTCATATTTGGGAGTGGAGGAGAGGCCCCTGGAGGGGGCGGGGAAGCATTGTCTAATAAAGACGATTCCATATCTAGAGTTCAAATAAGAAACCTCTAATTAAGATGAATTAGTACTAACCATCCAATTTATTTTGGAAATGCTTTTCTTCGGCTGAAAGTCTATCGGAAACAGTCTCCCTATCTTGTGTAGAAGTAAAGTCTATGTACACCGCATCTTCTCTAGATGCCACTTGTAGAATCATACTAGATATATTGTTATTATTGTTGTTAAGTACTTCATCCGTTCACTTTTAGCGGTCCTCTTTGGACTTTTCATACCCCTTAAGAAACAATAAATGAAATATATATTTTACAATTTTACTCATAATAATGATAATATTTTTAAAAGTCTTGAGAAATGATTTGGGAAATAAATAGTTAATGATAAGGATAAAACAGGAAAAAAAAAAGATTGTTTTTTTCTTTTAGTATAGGGGCCAAATAAAAGTAAAAAAATATTTTTAGTATAATAGACAAATAAAAGTGAACGAATGAAATACTTATTGTCCACTACAACCTTTATCGTTTCGTTACCATCAATTTACTATTTTCATATTTGTATAATTAATGAGCCAAAGTTATAGTTTTGTCCACATTGTGTCTTTGGAAATGATTTCCTTTATTTATATAACTTTCAAAAAACACCAAACATTGAGGAAACAGTGTACAGACTACAATGTGAAAATATAATAAATTCTCATTGCTAAAAATGGGGCAAAACAGTACTTACACCAAAAAATAAAATAAAATAAAATTGGGTAGACACCATAAATTCAAATATGTAACCAATGAAGCATCTCATTCAGTCATTTATCATAATGGAGCATGGACGAAGCAAAAACACAGTAATGTCAAACTCCTCACGTGGCCAAACCAGTACTACTAATTGCAGGTATTGTTATGTCTTACCTCTTGTATTTTCAAATCGGTATTGAAAACGCCACTTCCAACCAAGAGGTTGTGAGTTCGAATCTCCCCAAGAGCAAGGTGGGAAGTTCTTAGAGGGAAGGATGCCGGGGGTCTATTTTGGAAACAGCCTCTCTACCCCAGGGTAGGGGTAAGGTCTGCGTACACACTACCCTCCCCAGACCCCACTAAGTGGGATTATACTGGGTTGTTGTTGTTGGTATTGAAAACGCCTTTTTTTAAGCAGAGAATCTATTGAAAACAACCTTTTTATTTTATTGGTAAAGTCTGCGTACACACTATTCTTTCCCAACCTCGCATCTCACTGGATATATTTTTGTAATAATTGCAGGTATTGTTGTTATGGTGGCAAAATTTTATTATTTATACTAAATCAATAAATGTAATTCATACATATATTTCTTAAATGTATGATTAAGTAGGGGATGCACAAGCTATCCAAAAGGGATCGACATTATCAGCAGAATTATATGCTTTGATTATAAGACTTAAATTAGTCTTACAATATAATTTGCGCCCCACAGAAGTTGAGTTAGATGCTAAACAAATTATTACAATGTTGCAACCAGATAATCTTCCATTTGCCAATATGTTAAATGACTTCAGGTACCTCCTAAACCAGCTTAATAATCCGCCTGTTCACCATGCGTACAGAGAACAAAATGCTGTAACGGATCTGCTAGTGATGGACATCGGCATTATGATGAAGAGGAAGAAGAGGTATGCTCGTGGCCGACCGAGGATTAGATGGGAGCTTTAACCAAGGATAAAGCCCAGGAATTGGAGGGGAGGTTATCCGCTATGTGAGCTTGGAGGAGTAGTGGAGACGCGAGCACTATGTGGTCGACGACGGCGAACTATGTGAGGGAGGCGGCGAGAGAGGTGCTAGGTGTATCGAAGTGCTTTTCTGGCAAGCACCAAGGAGACTGGTGGTGGAATGACATAGTCTAAGGTAAAGTGGAGACGAAGAAGGTAGCATACGCGAAGTTAGCAGAGAGCACAAGCGCGGAGGAGAGGAGTGCGAATAGAGAGAGGTACAAAGTGGCTAGGAAGGAGGCAAAGCTGGCGGTTATGGAGGCGAAGAATGCAGCGTTTAGCCGCCTATACGAGTAATTAGGGGAGAAAGGCGGGGAAAGGAAATTGATTCGGCTGGCTAAAGCGAGGGAGAGGAAGGCTCGGGATCTGGACCAAGTAAGGTGCATCAAAGACGAGGGTGGTAGAGTATTGATGGGAGAGTCCCAGATTAAACAGAGATGGCAGACGTACTTTTATGGTCTCCTGAATGAGGAGGGGGACCAGGAAATAGCGCTNAAGATGAGTAGGGGTAGAGCGACCGGGCCAGATGAAATTTCGGTTGAGTTTTGGAAGTGTGTGAGTAGAGTAGGATTAGAATGGCTGACTCGGTTGTTCAATGTAATTTTTAGGACGAAGAGGATGCCGGAGGAATGGAGTACAAGTTCAGTGGTACCGTTGTACAAGAACAAAGGAGATATCCAGTGCTGTAACAATTATAGGGGTATCAAGTTACTTAGTCATACCATGAAAGTCTGGGAGAGGGTGGTGGAGGTGAGGGTGAAGAAGACGACGTCTATATCCGACAATCAGTTTGGGTTCATGCCGGGCCGCTCCACTACGGAAGCTATCCACCTTATTAGGAGGTTGGTGGAACGGTACAAGGATAAGAAGAAGGATCTGCACATGGTGTTTATTGACTTGGCGAAAGCGTATGATAAGGTTCCGAGAGAGGTGCTCTGTAGATGTCTTGAGGCGAAGGGTGTGCCGGTAGCCTACATACGAGCGATCAAGGACATGTACGATAGAGCAAGGACTAAGGTCAGGACGGTGGGAGGCGACTCGGAGCATTTCCCGGTTGTTATGGGATTACACCAAGGCTCAGCGCTTAGCCCGTTCTTATTTGCCTTGGTAATGGATGCTTTGACACACCATATTCAAGGGGAGGTGCCATGGTGCATGTTATTTGCCGATGACATAGCTCTAATTGACCAGACGAGGGGATGTTAACGAGAGATTGGAGGTTTGGAGACAGACTCTCGAGTCTAAGGGTTTCAAATTGAGCAGGTCTAAAACAGAGTACCTGGAATGCAAGTTTAGCGCTGAGTCGAGGGATATAGGCGGGGACGTGAGGCTTGGGTCACAGGTCATCCCCAAGAGAGATAGCTTCAAGTACCTTGGGTCGATGATTCAGGGGGACAGAGAAATCGACGAGGACGTCACTCACCGCATAGGGGCGGGCTGGATGAAATGGAGGATTGCATCTGGAGTCTTGTATGACAAGAAAGTGCCACCGATACTCAAAAGTAAGTTTTATAGAGCTGTAGTTAGACCGGCCATGTTGTATGGGGCAGAGTGTTGGCCGGTTAAGAACTCCCATATCCAGAGGATAAGAGTAGCAGAGATGCGGATGCTAAGGTGGATGTGCGGGCACACTAGGATAGACAAGATTAGGAATGAAGATATTCGGAAGAAGGTGGGCGTCGCTCCTGTGGATGACAAGATGCGGGAAGCGAGGCTCAGTTGGTTCGGGCACGTGCAGAGGAGAAGCCTCGAGGCACCGGTAAAGAGGTGTGAGCGGTTGGCCGTGGCGGGTTCGAGAAGAGGTAGAGGGAGACCTAAGAAGTATTGGGGAGAGGTGATCAGGCAAGACATGACACGATTGCACATTTCCGAGGACATGGCCCTTGATAGGAAGGTCTGGAGGTCAAGCATTAGGGTTGTAGGATAGTGGTAGTAAAGCTTTCCTTACTTCATTCCGGAGGTGAGACANGGGTGAGGCGGGGTTGGATTAGGGTTGGTCTTAGATGGCTTGCAGTTTATATTGGTCCCACACTATTCTTGTTGTTTGTCTTAGACCCGGGCCGTAGATTATGGTTACTGTTATTGCATGTCATTCATCTTTTGGTTTTTATGTTTCTGTTACTATTTCGATTTCTACTGGATTTACTAATGAATTCTCTCCTTATCGAGCCGAAGGTCTATCGAAAACAGCCTCTCTGTCCCGATCGGGGCAGGGGTAAGGTCTGCGTACACATTACCCTCCCCAGACCCCTCTATATGGGATTTTACTGGGTAGTTGTTGTTGTTGTTGTTGTTGTTGGATCAGCTAGCAAAGGCAGCCAAATATTTTGTTAAATCGACTGATCCGTATGTCTATGCTACTGCAACACTTTTTGTGAATCAAGCTTTGGAAGATGATAAGAAGCACCTTTTGGAAGTAGATATAAGCCAACAACAAAATGGCTTTATTAGTGGTTATGTGTAAACAATATGTTGTATGTTAACAGTAGTAGTAATGTACCTTCGTCTAGTAGTAGTTTATTAAAGTATGGCACTAATACCACTTGTAATGGAAGGCTACCACAACCACTCTTTGTACGCACTAGTTAAATATATATAAATATTATCGTTTGCACCCAAAAAAAAATATGTATTTTTATTTTTAACTAATAAGGTTAAATTCCTTAATTTGATATAAACACTTGTGAAAATTATATACCGTCCATCTAGCCTGCCTTTTCTTTTCATTTTTCACGCATAATTTTAGGTGATTAGAAAGAAAGAGAAATGTATAAATTTAGATGCTCACAAAAATAGTCGATAAAATGTAAATTTTTTTTTTTGTATATGTATATATAATATACACATTTTACATATTTTTTTACTAGCGGAAGTAATTAGTTTCGGCCGACTGGCCATATTGGTAGATTCCTTCCTTCATAATATACCTTCACTATAGATAGATAAAAAAATGAAAAATCGTCGTGTCAGAGCGGACCGGGTTGAAATAGTTGCGGGTTAAGGTTCAAGCCGCACCCCTATACCATTGCCATCTCTACTTGTGGAAATCATGGACAAACTCGAAGCTCAAAGACAGTTGATTTCAGTTCTCTTTTCTTGATTTTCAGACTTGACCTTTACATATTTGATTAAGCATGAGACCACTAGTCAAGAATCTTGAAAAGAGGTAACCAAAGTATACAGGTTAGAACAAAATATGTGTAAAGTTTTAAAATGTTACTAATACTCTTGCACCACAATTTTACAGTCCAATAGTTATTTGAATAAAACTTTCTTCAACCACTAGTCAGGGCAGAGCTATAATATTAGGTACGGGTTCGAACGAATTTAGACTCTATATTTGTATTATGAAATTCATCAAATATATAAAAATATTTAACTGCAAACCTAGTAACTAAAATGAGCAATGGGTTCGGTGGCAGACCTATAAACTTCAAAACTTGACTCCGTTTTTGCCACTAGTTTTGTCTTGCCATTGCTCTCTCCATCTCCTCTTCCCAATATCTACACCACCTATTCTTAGTTGCTGCAGCTATGAGGAAGTGCTTAGTTACCATCTTCCTTTAGGTATAAGTACTGCCCAATTCTTTTGAATAACTTGTGTTGAGTTTCTTCCAGTTCCTCTACCTTTGCCTGCATTATGAAGTTACCATATATTAAGGAAAACAAGAAAACCATAACTGATTTTTCGTGCTGGCTGAAACATTTCACATAATTCATAACATAATCACTTGAAGTTCATAATGAAGAAGTACGGAACATAAAATATACTTCCTCCATCCCACTTTATGTGAAGAAGTTCGGAGTACGAGCATCAAACCACCAACTTTCGGTATAAATTCAGACATAAAATTTTCAAGTTTTTGAAATAAAATTGACATATGCAGGAACTATGGGAAAAGGACCATAAGCAGCATAGTTAATAATTCGAACTGTTAGAAAAAGTTTGAAACAATCATACTAGAAGAAAAACTGTTTGATCCTTAGAAAGTACAACAAAAAAGGGCAGCCTGGTGCACAAGGCATCCTGCATTCACGTATGGGGAAGAGCCGCACGCCAAGGGGTGTGTGATGTAGACAGCCTACCCTAATGCAAACATTAGTGACTGCTTCCACAGCTCAAACCCGTGACCTATAGGCCACATGGAGACAACTTTACCTTTGCTCCAAGGTTACCTTCTTTAAAAAGAATAATAGTATCACATAAAATGGGAGAAAGAAAGTAAAAAAAGGTAAACCACCTCGTACAATTGTTTCCATTTGAATGTTCCATTCCTTAGCTTCATGTCTTGGACAACCTGATTTGTGCTTTTTTCACCAAACTGAATCTTGTAAAATCTCTTCCAGAGTTTAGTTTATTAGTTACTGGACAAAGATCTCTTCCCTGAATTTAGCCGAAAGTCGAGCACTGAATCAAACATGATGTGATATGTTGAAAAAGAAGAAGAAGCTAAAGCAGTTTAATTTCTTACTTGTGTTGAATTCTCTACATGTATCAACTGCTCAAGAGAACAGTGAGGCAAAATTCGCTGAAGAAGATGAAACTCTGTTTCACCAACATCTCCAAGAAATCTAACATTATCTATTGCTTTTTGAACACATAAATCTACTAAAGAAGGAGCCATATGCATCATTGTCATACGTCTTTGGTGTCTGATTACGTGTGTGACCCAATCGATTCGACTGTCTTAGACCTTGGTAAATTAAGCTGATCAGCTAAAGAAAAGAAATGTAGAATCTAAATCGTAAAAATGGTACAAAAGATAACAATACATCCCCAGTGTAAATATACTATGACACTTCCCTTAGGAACTTAAACAGCGGAAAGATACAACTGTAGCATAACCCTATAACAGTACATGTTATAAACCCTTTTTAAAAACCATAACTATCATAAATCATATCATGTATAGAGTATTTAAATGACAGTACAGTAATTGATGAACATCATCATAGCCCCTTCATGAAAACAATAACTATAAGAACTGTAAAATACTATGCTGCAAACAAATACATACACTTGGTAGGTTTCTAAGAATGAATAATGTAATCAGTAGGGCTCCCTACATGAGGAATAGCCAAAATAAACTCGGGAACTCCTTCTCAATGGAGTCAAACCACAATGATGGTCCCTACTTATTGAGAGACAGTATGCTAGTTCTACTTTCCCATCGGTAAGAGATCTAACTGTGATGTAGAGTTACAAAGTGCACTAGGTCTAGCGAACTCGCTGTTGAATATAGAATCCGTCAAAGTCCCCAACAAAACTACATTTTAGCAAAACTACATAATATCCATATCAAACAGTAGTAAGAGGATACCAGGGAGTCCAGTTCCATATCTATTCATATCATGAAACAAACTTTAGCAAAATGCTTGCAACGTAGATACATTTCAAGTAACGATACGTGAAAAATCCATATCTAGTAACAGTAAATATCTCAAGAAATGGTTTGGTAAATAAAATCAATATAGTTCAAAAATATTTCTAAATCATATAAATCAATAAAATCCTAAGGTTTTTTTTATAACCGTATTGTCTCGGGGTACTTGCTAGTGATACCTTCCACCAACACAGGTATTAAGTAATTCCGTTCACCAAGGTTTAGACTGAGATATCACGGTTCTAAACCCGCTTCATTGACCACTATGATACAAACCCTTGGGTGTGCAATCCCTAAGTTTTTTCCTAATGACCAACAACGCCCCTCTACCCTTTTCCACGTAAATACCGGGCTTAGTTGGCATTGAGCATGGCTCAAACATGTGATCTAATTCATAAGACCCTCAAACTTTGCTACATTCTAAACCCTAACTTTCTCAATTCAGTCTATATCTTGGTTGAATTTTCACTATGTCCAAATCCCAATTAACACAATTTAATTCAAACTACCAATGAGAGGCGGATCCAGGATTTGAGGCTTATGGGTTCCTACCGTAATTTTAGATTAATATGCAATAATAACTGGGTTCACAGTTAGATATTTACAAATATTTAATAAATTTCTTAATATAAATACATGATCTACGCAAACGTTACTGGATTCCCGAGAACCCGTATTGTAAGCTCTAGGTCCGCCCCTGCTACCAATAATACTAACTTTAAATTGAAATAAGAAGGCATTAATACCTTAAATTTTTCCTCCTCTCTCTTTCTCTCAATATAAATTCTTATTTTGATAGCTTCGCAAAAACTTCGGGCTTTTATTTTTCTTCTTCAGAAGCTTCGTTCATCACCCTTTAGAAATCTCTTATATAAATTCTTATTATGTTATTCTATTCGCGACAGATGCCCTTCACTAGCTAAAGATATTACATCAATGTCCATTCTATCAATTCTAATGGTGGATAAGTGTTAGGGCTGGACATATATCGGGTAAAACCGATAACCTGAACCATTAATTCTTTATTGGGTTATCGGTATCGGGTTATTGGGTTAACGGTTCGACAATAGTTTAGAATTTTTTTACTATTGGGTTATCGGTTCGGGCCTTAATTTGCCAATTGTGTTAATGGGTTAACCGATAACCCAATAAGAATTAATAAAATTACGACTTAAACCCTTAAGTATATGCATATGCTAGGGCGTCACTTCATTCTCTCCTGTTCTTTTTCAGCCGTATTCTTTAATTGCTTACTCCTAACGTAAGTCTGTAGTCTTATACATTAGGCTTTTAATTTCTATAACAAAATTCATCTTCATATTGGTATTTTTGATTATTAATGATTCTTTTTTTTTAATTTTCGTTTCTTAATTTTGTGAGCTCATGTTGTGCAGCCTATACCTACTACAAATTTCTCTTCGCACTTATCAATTCTCAATCGACAATCTTCGTCAGTTTCAGGTATATTTTTGAACATTATTCTTCTATACAATATGCTAAGCTTTGACAACAAGATAACATTTTCTTGCCTTCTAGGTATTTTTCATTTCTGTATCAGTATTGCCCATGCATAGATCAAGATTTTGCTCCATAGTTTCTTTTTTCAAGTTAGGCATTTGACAAACAACATCCAGTTTATCTTGAACTGTTAGTACTATATGTTTGGACTTGTTAATTTTAAGGTAAAATTGCTACTACTTTGTATTATTATTAATGTATTTGGACAACTGTTATTGAAGAATTAGTACTATTCCAGTTGTGGCCACTGGACATAATGCAGAAATGGATAGTATACTATATGTGAATTCTTTTTTTTTTTTTGCTCGACTCCAGTAAATTATTTTTTCTTTTTTGCTTAACTCTATATTGAGTTATCTTATCAGGTAAACCGATAACCGAACCGATAATGATCGATAACCGATTAACCGATATCTTATCGGTTCGGTTATCGGTTTATCAAATTTGTAAACCGATAACCGAACCGATAATGATCGATAACCGATTAACCGATATCTTATCGGTTCGGTTATCGGTTTATCAAATTTGTAAACCGATAACCGATATGCTAAACCCATAATATTCATAACCGAACAGAACCGACCGATGCCCACCCCTAATAAGTGTGTCTATTCGTGGGCTTCATCACACTCTGCTTTTTGGGAAAGTGCACAATTAGCCACTAATTAGAACTGTATTTACTTTTAAGCCACTGTTTAAAATATATTTACTCTTTAGCTAGCTCTTTAATAAATTTTTATCCATCCGGACGAAAATACCCCTGAACTAGACATGGTGTCCTTAACTTCATAAGTGTTGTGTAAATATTAAGGACAAAGTGTCATGTATTTACACCTTCTGTTATTAAACTTTAGGACATCATGTCCTTAATTTCATGAGTGATGTGTACATAATATTTTAATAGAGTAATGACTATTTTTGCTCAGCATTAAAATACTAGATAAAACTGAATGCCACATTAAAAAATGGCTATCTAACGCCATTTCTACCCATTTTTAATGGGAAAGTTACACATTTCGATTTAGCTGTGGCCAAAAATATTTATATTTGTTAATTAATATATATAAATTGTATACTATATTATGTAATGACTAACATGTCCTTTATTACTTAGAGATTACAATCAGAGGCTGTTTGGTTTCCTTTTTACTATCTTTGTTCTATTTTTTGTGGCTATCTATATTTTTTTATTAGTTCGCTCAAAAGAATAGACAACTTTCTATATTTAAAAACAATTTAATTTTAAATTTTTTATTTATCTTCGAAGTATTTTACACTGTCAAAAAAGTCATGACAGACTTAAGACGATAAATTTTAAAATTCTTTCTTTCTTGAATTTTATGCAAAGTCAAACTCACCACATAAATTGGAAGGAAGGGAATATAAGTTTTTTTATACCAGACTACCAGTAATTTTCATAAGATTATACTATGTCAATCATGTAAAAAAGTAATGTCTTTAAAATTGTCTTAAGTACTCATAACAGATCAAAGACCTTGAAAAAAGAATTTGCACTATAGTTTGATTGCCTGCTAAAGTCTTGATTCACAATATATGCAAAGATTTATAAAAAGAAGATGAATTTCATGAAAGTGAAGATGATGATAAAGATAAAGATAAGAAGCTTTACAAAGATAAAAATTAAAGATATTCAAGGGCCAACTCTGAAAGAGCACTTGAACATAAGAACAAGTTATATATGTATAACTTTCCAGAATATAAACAGAATGAAGGGAATTTATGAAATACAACTTTCCAGAAAATAAAAAATATGAAATAAATGTGTACATGATGAAGGTGTTCAAAATTTATGCAAGCTAATTTACACCTAAGAAAAATGCTTTCAATAAGTAACAGTGTCCCAATTTTTTGAGAGTTCTTATGAATTCGCAATTGGCGCATATTTTTTACGCCAATCCTCCTTACAAAAATTCAGCACTAGAAACTTCTGAACATATCAGTTTTGTGTCAAATGTGGCACGAGCAGAGAAAGCTTGGCGGAACATTTGATATGGAATGGATGCATCTGTCTTCCTATTAGCACAGAGTTTTCCACCATAAGCTATTTCGCCAGTGTCTGAAATCGCTAGGTTGATTAACTGCTGCAAGTGGAAGAACACTCTCCCACAAATGTGCAAGAATTCGCGACTAGCATGCCAATTCATCGGCTACTATAGGAGGAATAAAAGAGCAGCCTTGCAGTGTCTGCTCAAAGATATGGCCTACTTTAAGCAATTTCTCCTGCAGTCATTTTAGTAAGTAAAATATCAAGAACTTTAGCATGTCTTAGCGGGAAACAAACACACACATATGTGAGCATGAGCAAATAACAGCATGAAGAGAAGGAAAAGAAAAGGACATATACGACTAGAAATCATGTGAGGCAAGGTTCAAATGATTTGAAAATCTCTTCAGAACATAGACAAGGATATCCTTCAGTGAACTCTAAAACTACTTGGTGTTTGCATTAATTTCTAAATTCTAATCATTTTCTACTAATTAAGTTTTGCTTGTGTTAAATTCGAACATTCGTGCTACATAGTTTCCATTTCATCTTTCCTTGAGCTGAGGGCCTATCGGAAACAGGCTCTCTACCTTCTCAAGGTAGGAGTAAGGTCCGCGTACACACTACCCTCCCCAGACTCAACTTGTGGGATTACAAGAGTTTTTTTTTTTTTTTTTTTTTTTTTTTTTTTTTTTTTTTTTTTTTTGTACTCCATGGTTACCAATTATTCTTTCCTATAGTCCCGTAAAGAACTGAATGTATTCAGCACTTCTTTTTTAGATGCTCATGTTTAACTCGATTACAATTTCAAGCTAAGTAGCTATATCATCCCTCTTTCCCCCTTTCTCTAACTTTTCTCAAAAGAGAGGTCTAAGTAAGTCAAAGTACCCCCCACGTTCAAATATCCTGTTTTATCCTAAATACTGGAATATGAATACCAACTGGAAAAATCGGAGTACTGAGACCCACCTCTTCAAATGCAGCACCAATCATCTGAACACCAACGGGAAGGGCCGCAGAGCTGCTATCAACAAATCCACAGGGGAGAACTAATGCTGGAAGACCAGCCAAGTTGACATTGACCTGCCGATGATAAAAAGAATCATCAACTGAAGAGAATAGAGAATAAACGAACAAGTTACATCATCAACCGACTAGAGGGGAAAAAAGTTCGAAAATTACCAAGAGAAATATAAGAAGCAACAAAACTACTTACAGTCATGATATCACCAGCATACATTGACAATGGATCGTTCTTCTTTTCACCTGTAAATGTCACATGTCCTAGTCAAAGTTAGTGTGGCCTTTCAATAGAAGGGTCTTACGGAATAAAAAGAAAGAATAGAAAAAGATATTTAAGCAAGACTGCAAAGTAGATACATCAGTAGAAGTAAAAGCAAAAGCTAAAAGAAGTATACCAATTCTGTAAGCCGCTGATGGTGCAGCAGGTGAAATCAAAATATCATTCTCCTCTAATGCTGCCCTGAAGTTTTCCCTTACCAAAGTCCTAACCTGGAATAGAATCACTCTTTAACTTCTCAAAGAATTAAATGAACATGAAAATACCAAAGCACTTGTAAATTGGGGTTACATAACTCATTAAAATATGAATTATCGAGTCTAATAGATGCATCGACCAAACATGATTGGTTCTAAATGCCACGTACACACTTGATCAAAACTCAACTTGATAAATTTTTGGAGTTAGAACTTCACAGTCAGAAACTGACGTGTAGATTGTCTTGTATAAGCATTATTGCCAGAGACACAAAAAAGGTAATTTAAGAGGCTGAAATATTTACTTAGTTCTAATTGGCTTATATTAGCATTAATTATCTTGAGATGCATGAGAATATAAGAAAGTGTTTGCACTTTCAACTTATATATAACTATGAGGACTTGGAATATTCTGAGTGCATGGATGTACAACCTGCTGAGCTCGCTTGTAGTATGCATCATAATAACCAGCAGATAGAGCATATGTCCCCATTAGGATTCTCATTTTCACCTGTAAAGACATTTAATACACTCAGTCCAATAGTGTTGTCAAAAGTCATCACATTCATGGAGAAGGGGAAGCAGGAGATCCTTTGTGATGTAACCACTAGAAAGCTACTTTACACAGAAAACTTTTGTTCCTTGGTACCTCAGAACCAAAGCCTCCAGCACGAGATTCCCCATAAAGGGAGTTTAACTCATCGGCAACAACTTGTTTGCCATACCTGCATTTTGACATCACATGAAGTTACGCTAGCTCCGATGTAATACTTCTAATCGTACATTAACTACTTTCTGCAGAATTTCTCCGAAGCTTATGTTTGGGTCTTCACCCATGAATTTTTGGGTTTTAACATTTTGAAAGCTTATCATTACTAATGTCAGGCAGTCTCCGAGATTATAACTTCTCTTTCTAAATTATGGTTGGTATCCACTTATTCTCTTAGCAAAATGGCAGTAAATTCTTAGTTCTTGAGACTGGTATGCAGTAATTAAAAAGAATATATCTGTTCGGCACTCCCTCTACTTTCTGCTCTCTTTAAATGGTAAGACTAACGAGGTACTTAGTTACTCTCCTTCAATTTGGCTTCCAAAACAGAGGATTAGAGCTGAGGAATCCTAAAAGATATCTAAAAATTGAGGATTGAAGATAGTACTGCCGTTATGTATTTCTATTTGCTCCGAGGAATGGAAAGGAAAGTTCAGATGGAAAAAGAATTCTTTAATGCATCACCTGATACCATCATAGCGGGACAAATTTGAAGAAGATTCAGAAGAAGCAAGGATATAGTAAGCTGGCAATCCTAGAGAGAAGGATGGCAATGAGACCTGCAAAAGTAAAAATTAACAACTAATTTCAAATAAGGAACGCCACAGAATATGGTAACTCAACATGAGGTTCATAACTACCGAAAAAATGAAGAATACCTCGGTGACGGTGCATCCTAGTTCTTCAAGATGACTAGCAGCACCACGGATTGAAGTAATTACTTCCGGGTCAACTCCATCTTCAATGGTTTCTCGGATCAGACCAACTCTCAATCCTTTCAGAGGTTTGGAGTCCAAATGATCTCTAGCAATAAATTGGGAAGCAAAGTCGGGAACTTCCTGAAGAGTAATATTGCCAAATAATTAAAGCAAACCTCTAAACATATACCACTAGCAGACTGTATAGCCATGTGGCTGTTTATATCAGAAGGAAATACCAACAAGCTCTTATTAGACTTGAATCAGATTACATTACTCTCTTCCCCCAACCACTCATTAATAACATAGAACTCACTCTTTGAGACTTTGTATGCCAAAATCTTCATATTCATAACAAGCACAAGTGTATTCAATGAATAAAACTTAATAGAGGAGATTCTTTTTCTACCCTCCCTAGACCCCACGATGTGGGATAATACTGGGTATGTTGCTGTTGTAGAGGAGATTCTTTTTCCCTTTCTAAAATAGAAAAACATAGCATACCTGAGGCAAATACAAGGAGTCATGAACTACAGAAAGCAAAGAACATGTACAGAAAGCTTACTCGCTTGCTACTTGTTGCGTCAAACTTGTCATGACCAGATATTGCATGAAGGAGAATGCCTGCATCAGCAACTGATGAGCCAAAACAACCGATAACATCCAGAGATGAAGCATATGCCACAAGTCCGTATCTAGAGACACGCCCATATGTTGGCTTCAAACCAACAACACCACAGAAAGAAGCTGGTTGTCTAACACTTCCACCAGTGTCACTTCCCAATGATACCATACATTGTCTAGCAGAAACAGCTGCAGCTGAGCCCCCTGATGAACCACCTGGTACTCGGGACAAATCCCAAGGATTTGCTGTCACCTAATAATACCAAGATGCATCACCTGAGTAAACCATGTTAAGTTACAAATCGGACTCGTTAGAGCAAATTCTTTTAGCTACTCTTATGTCATTACTACCTGATGATATTAAATAGAACCTACTCGCATATTTAACATGGTAGAGAATCCACTCTAACCCTTCTAAGTTCCAACGCATACACCTTGATGTATTCAACTCAGAACCCCAAAATAAATGAGGCTGGAGACATAAAGATGGAAACTTTATTTAGATTAACAGCAAAACATAGAAACTTGAAATTGTTTGTTTTTGTTGACAAATTAGAATTAAGCTATTCTCCTAACTTCAATTGTACAAGCAGACATTAGGCAGCCAAACAAGAAAATATGCAAGTACAACTCAACTTATTACAAACTGTAATACAGTCCCAACGGCAAATTGCAAACTCACCCAATTTCAAAGTTTAACTCATGGGCACTTAAACATGGGGCTCGATAGGTTTTTTATTTTATAAGGGGAAAAAAATACCGGTAAAATTTTTCTTAGTGAATACAACCTTTAGTTTTCGGCATTGCGTTGCTAACTCAAATTCCATATAACTAATACGTCATATAATTTTCCGTGTAAAACTCTTTGTTACTAATACTGGCATAACTTAGGCGAAGATCTATGTATTAGTTTGTTTAAGATCGAATGTGATACTAAACATACACATTTAAGCTAATACAAAACATAAGAGCATGAGCATCTAAAAATGCCAAAAAAGAATAACCTTTAAGCTAATTCTTGACTTATACATAAAATAAGAATCTGTACGTTACTCCCTCCCTCCGGATTTATGTGATAGTATTTCGTTTTTGGTTGTCCTAAGAAAATGATACATTTCTATATTTAGAAATAATTTTAAATTTTAAACTTCCCATCATACCTTAATGAGATGATTTATGACCACACAACTATCTATGACTTGTTTAGACCACAAATTTCAAAAATTTCTTTCCTTTATTAAACTATATGTCAAGTCAAACAACATCACATAAATTGAAACGGACGGAGTACCTGATAAGCGGAGCCTTCAGTTGTACTCCCCATACCAAACTCATCCATATTAGTTTTCCCAAAAACAATGGCACCACACTTTTTCATTTTGCCAACAGCAGTAGCATCAAATGGGGGTTTATAATTCTCCAAAATCTTGGACCCTGCAGTTGAAGGCATATCAGCCGTACAAATATTATCCTTAACCCCAACCAAAACCCCAGCAAGTGGGCCCAACTCCTCATTGTTAGCAATTTTCCTATCAATCTCTTCAGCTTCCTTCAAAACGACGTCGGATACATATAAAAAGCTCTTGAGCTGCGGTTCTGTGTGACGTAAGCGTTGAAGAAAAGTAGTGGCGAGATCAACGGNGTGGTGAGTTGAGATTGAGATGTGTGGAGGCATTTGAGAGAGAGGGATTGAAAATTAGGGAAACGGAGAAGGCGAGGAGTTTGTACTGAAGATAGCATTTGGAGTTTGTACAGTGTGATAATGGTGAGACGGAGAAGCCCAAGGTTTTATCCACTTAAGGGGTCGTTTGGTTGGCTTTATATAATGAAACATAGCATGCCCTACCAAATGAGAAGGAAGTCGCAGGAGCAAGTTAAGAATTAGAATTCCCGACTCGTTTGACCATAGATTCCCAAATTTATTTTGAAAAATCTGATTTGGGTGAAGTTTGGTTTGAAGATGAAAATGTGTTTAGACATACGTTTTCAAAATATTTATTTTGAAAAAATCTGTACTATAATTCTCAAATTTTGGGATTTTGGTCCAAAATCAGCAATTGGGGTGATTTTGGGATTTGTAATTTTGCTAAAATGTGGGCAAAATTTATAGCCAAATATGAGTTTGCTAAATAAATCTCAAAATTGGCAAAACTTATGGCTAAACGGGTCCATAATCTCCGGGAAAATTACCAAAGGTTGTGGTAGAAATGTAGAATAGCTATAAAGTATCCCTTATTTTTAACTAACGGCTTGTTTGGATGGTTGTCATGTATCGGTTTCATAATATATTATAATATTATATTGTATTGTATTGTACTGTATCGTTTTGATGTATATAATTATTGAATATATTGTACTATTTGTCATCGTTTGCAATATTATAAAGAAAAAGTAAAATACGAGGTAGAATTATTATTAAAAAAAGTAAGGTAAAAGATAAAATATGATTATTTAATATTAAAGCAGGGCAAGATTAGAGGAAAAAAAATAAGGTAACGACGCAAACACACCAAATCATGTTACGTAACAATAGATTTAAAGATACGATACAATAAAATTTTTGTAACAAATATTGTATACAATATAATAGATAAGAACCATTCAAACAAGCTGTAAATATTTCGACTTTGAGCCTTAGAAATAAAATTATTTTTTATAAGGAGTTCCGCCGGACACCAAAGTTGCTACCCAAGATCAAAATTAAATGTTCAGCAAGGGCCCGCACTCTCTCTTTTGTAGATACGCTATCCCTCAGGCTATGGTATGGGGAAGGGGAAGGGGGATCTACTCATTGATTTTATATTAGATGAGTGCCCGTACTATGATCATTCGGGAGATAGAGTGTTCAGTTGAGGAGATAGAGTTTTCCATTTTTACTTCCTTTAGCTTATGTTTCCAACATTTGAGGATAGAGTGTTCAGTTGAGGAGATCTTGAAGCATAATATCCTTCAAAGAGATCCCCATAAAGCTTAAATTAACTGTAATAGCATCAGCTATATGACATTTACCATTCAACTTAAGAATTCGCAAACCTAATGGTTAATAATTTTTACATTGCTCTACTTGCCAAAGGTACAATAATCTCTATTTTGCAGTACAATGGTGAGCCTCAATTAGCCGCTTGTGCACTTTTCCTGAGATGAACAGCTTGCATCGAACCAACATTTTCAACAAACTTGGAAGCCAAATAACGCAGGACCAATAGCGCTCCTTTGGGGTATCAATCGATATGCCTCCATTTCTGAGATCGGCAAAAACTGGCTCAAATGTTAAAAACCAAAAGAGAAAATGTAACAAACTACATCAGAGTGGAAGAATAGCAGAAGACAAATGCAGAATCAGATATCAGCCTAAATCAGTAGTTAAACAGTTTATCCTAGCACAACTGTAGAGACTAACAGTTATGACGGTGTTTGATAGGATAATTTTACCTTTCGTAGTGGGATAGGTATAGAAGTTGAAGTTTCGCATGAAAGGAAACACGATTACATGATTAAAGGGCAGAAGGCATTATAAAGAGGTGTAGAATTGATCTGAAAGGCCAGTTTATAATGTAAACTTGAAAGGTATTTACCAGTCTAAGAAGCAAGAAACTTAAGAGTTATCAACTTAAAACAACAGGTTGTCTGGGTTTGCCCATATAAATATGGTGGAGATTTCCTAATGTGAACAAAATGAAACTTGACAAAGCAAGACATACGAGGAATGGTTAGATACACCACATGAAAAGCCGTTAGAAGGACATTTGCATGGAAGATGAAGGAGAATATGGGTTAGGGCTGCTAGAAGAATTACCCCAATCAATATAGATTAAAGTCGGATCTCGATTATATAACATAGCAAGTGGAAGTAGACCTATCTTCAGTTATGTTGCAATGTCATCAGAGTTGATGGGGCTATGGTGCACAGGGAAGAAAGGAGGAAGAAGAAGGGGAGTGAATGGGCCAAAAATGCATGATGCAGGTAATTATATAGGAAGTGGGGCCCAACTGGCGTTCAGAAACACATCAAAGGGACGAAATTTAAATTAGAGATGAAGAAGAGGAGGTAGTCATGATATGGGAGTGGGAGGGGGGCGGGCTGAGCAATTAAGAGTAAGAAACAGAATGGCAAGGAGAAGCTAGCAATTACTGAGCTTCAGTCTCTGTTAGCCCACGGGAGGGGAGTGTCCTACAGTATTAATTCGCTTGAAGTACGAAAAAGTCTCAAATAAAGATGTTCGGAACATGATACATCATAAATTTTCCACTTCAAGTTGGAAAACAGTTCCAAACATTATAAATACCAAAATTTCGCTAGAATCAAGATACTAATGATATATTTTTTTTTGAACATGGAGAAGAAGAAAAAGTAAACGTCATGACAATTAGTTTACACCTTGTATAGGAGAATTTGTCCACTTTTTGCTACCAATTATATTAATTATTGGAAAAATAACAGTGAGCAGAAAGGCGGATTCTTTTACCTTCAAAATGAGAGCCAAGAGGAAAATGCCACCAACGGAAACATCAACAACAAGCCAGAGCTCACCCAGGTATCTAGACCCTTAACCTTTCTCATTTTCTCATCCACCGAATTCCAAAAATGTGTGAAAGGACAAGAATCTTGTGGATCCTGTAGCATTCATTCCTAATCAAACTTTGTTTTCTTCTAAATGGGATTAGCAATAACCCGATAAGTTTTCAACAGAAGAGCTTAGAAAGAGTGTGGCAATGAACACTTACCTCAATATTTGAGTCAGTAGTTGGACACTGAACATCTGAACTTGCAAGTGTTCGTCGTATGCCTTGGCTGGATTTCCCAAGAGGCATCTTTAATGTGGACTTTGTGGAATCTTTACCAGTGAATGCTTTATAAGCAGAATCAGTGTGTACCGTCTCCATGACTGAACCGAAAAAGTTTGTCACTGGTACCTATCAAAGTCAGAGATTGCCCGTTTCACTTTCACATAATAACACCAGCAGTCTAATTAGTTTGTTGGATGACAAGAACAAATTAGGTAATCGTTTTCAGAGTAACATTTCAGTTAGTCATCTAATTTAGGACAGCTTAACGGATACTTGACTGTCTCATGCTGTTGTTTCAATTTGAACATAAAAGGGGAAAAACATTCATAAAATTCTGTGCTATTTTGGACCTCTTTTAGCACTTCTTTTATTATTTTTACTTCACTTCTGCATACTAAAGCAAGTTATTGACACTAGTTTGTGCTCGTGGTAAGCAGTTTTAAGCCCTCTTGGTAGGTAACTAAAAGAAATGAAGTGCACTGTATTTAGATGAAGATGGGGTCCTATTAAATTAGCTCTTTTACAATTATTTTGTTAATTTCTTCTACTACTACTAATTTGTCATGCAAGTCAAATTAAGATCTTCAGCTTCTTAACCGATCAACTGTACATAAAGTGGGACCTAAGAACTGCAACTTTTCCTTTTATTTTATCCTACCTATCTCCACTAAGATCCTTTACTTTTCTCTTTTTTTGTCTTTTTGGGTTTTCATGGAGTTCTTCTTTCCACGTATTTCCTTTTTCTTCGGGAGAGTTGGGGTTGGGGGAGGGCAGGGTTGCATGGTAAAGGAACAAACATAAAGTCGTACCTCTTCTAGTTGACGAGGGTATAGATCTGTTCGATAATATGCAGTTGACATCAGCATATTTGGATTATATGAACTGAAAAGACTGCAACGGGAAAAAGATTAAAGAAAGTCTAAAAAAATTAAAGAAATTCTATGTCCAAAACAAATATCATCTTCTGATTAAGACAGGAAAAAGGAGATTGGAAAAAACAACAGGAAGAGAGGCACACATAATTTCTAGGATCCATGAGAGCATAGTCAATGTAACAGCAGGAACTACCAGCAGTCAAGCCCCCAGTGCAGTTAACCTTTGCAAACTACACCAAGTATTCTGGATCTACTTTTGGTCCACTTTGCTGCTCGAGTCCATATGACATGTACAACTTGAGCAGGTAGGTTATCTAAGATGCGAACCCAGGCAAGGCAATTATCACCAAAGTTACCAAGTACGCACTCCCGTTTACCCTCTATAACAGTCCCCTTTCTAGAGTTCCAAGCATTGCTTAAAAGACTTCAATAACCCAAGCAGCATTTCTAAATATATGTAAAGTTCAAACCTGCTTAAATGTACTCGATATGGTTATCTAAAATCCTTGAATAAGACTCTTTCCATTTTATTAAAGAAAATCCTTGTGGGCCAGGCCACAGTCAGACCCTTGAACAGCCAATAATTATCCTTCAAAATTTCTGAATTATCCCCAATTATCAATTAAAGGAATATACTTCAGCATTTTTATTATCAAGTAAAACCCATAACTGATGGCCATTGCAGCTTCAAAGAAGATATCTCCTTTCTCTCTTACCTTACTCAGCTAGTGGATGACTCTCCTTTTGATAATGATGCAAGCCTAATCTCCATCAAGGAATAATTTATACCCATTTTAAATTGTTGCGCCCCACACCGGAGGGATGAGGGTTTCGTGGTCTCTTTATATAATCTTGTGCAATCCTCACCTCATGAGCTAGCTTACGAGGTTGAGTTAGGCCCAAGGTCTGTTTATCATGGTACTAGAGCTAGGCCCATCCCAATTTATTGTTACCTATGTTGGACCCCCATTTATGTTA